ATGTTTTCGGCACCAAATCGCATATTTCCCGATAAAATATGGCAGATGGAAGTAAATAACGTCTACAAAGGTGATATTTCACAGTAATAAAGAAGTATTTGGTTCATAACTGGGTCGTATGGGGTAGTATTGGGTGGTATTGGGTAGTATTGGGTAGTATTGGGTAATTAGACGCGACGCTTATGTATACAATGTACTTGTATACACATACAGGAATTCAAAATCCAATTCTTACAATGGAAGGGGCATAACTCCAGAAAATATAACCAGACACATGATAAAATGACAATTGCAAAGAACTATTAAAAACACTTAATATCAGAAACTTGAAAAAGATTTAAGTTAAAATGAAATAAAACTAATTTGTCTTGTGTCACAACTAACTTCACCAAATTAAAATATTTATATAAAGAGATAATGAGTGAAAAGTTGGCTTTAAATGTGCCTGTAATTTAAGATAATTTTCCAACTTAAATAACAAAAGTATTCACTTAGAAATATCTATGATTTTTTTTAAAGCAAGTTATCAACTATATTCTCGGTCCAAGTAGGCCTCCTTGTATAACTCCTAGGTGAAACATTACAATCATTTCAAATAAACTCTGCAAAAAAAACACCATTAACAGACGGAATGTTTCTCATTTAACTTCTGTGATATTGAATATAAATTAAGTTCATTTATTTGAACAGACTTGGTATCTGATCACCCTTGCATGCTAAGGCCTAACAGGTTTTAACAAATTCTAACCCTGTGACCTAGTAAATGAGTGAAAGTTAATCCAATGGAGAAAAAAACCTCTTAATCCCTGCATGCTACCACCAAACATTACCTCTTGGTTATTTAGAAGAAGTTGCATGTAGTAAAAGCTTAAATGCTGGATGTACCCTGGACCATGATATAAGCTAAATTGTTGTTCAGGAAGGTGAGCTTTAATATTTGAACACCATAAGAATTTTGGTGATACCTAAATCAGTATTATCACACTTTAACTCAGCAGAAAAGTATTTACCAGCCATTTGACACAGTCCATCCTGCCAAGTTGTGTGGCTGCATGAAGACAGGACATTCCATCAAATGACTTCATCTTTATGGAGCCTCCCTTCTGTACCAAAAGTTTGAGAATATTGAGGTGTCCCTCCTGACTGGCAAGGTACACAGGAGTCACTCCATTCACCATCTGTAGATTGACTGTTCTGGAATTAGGAAAGACCAAATAAACATTTCAATATTACTTTTACAATTCCATCTTTTAATTAGTTACAATTCAAAACAATATTTGATCTAAACTTTTAATTGTACTTCTAATAAGCTTAATTATTATATCCGTATCCTCTTTGTCATTCAGCAACATATGTTTTGAACTTTTAATTAACACATTTGACCCGATGCAGTGACGTTTAAAGTGGATCAAGGTTATTTATTTTAACAAACTTGACAGTTTTATACTCATCCTAGAATGACTGGACACTTATCATCACTCTATGTCTCTTGCTTAATCAAATAAATATATGTAAAAAGTTAGTGCCAGACATATGACAGAATAATTATAACCCAACCAAATCTTATTTTTGTATTATATTACCTTGGTGTTTCCTTGACGATTATATTTACAACATCTGGGTTGCCTCCGGACACAGCAAAATGAATTGGTAGAGCCCCACTCGCAGACTTCATCATCACATCAGCATCAGTTTCATCCATAAGCCATTCAATAAGCCTTCCATGACCATACCTTGCAGCAAGGTGAGTGACTGTTGCACCTGTGCCATCCTGATCATTCACCACACAGGTAGTCTGTTTCAACAACCATTGTAGTACTGCTGTTTTACCTGTTGCAGAGGCATCATGAGCGGCAGTCGCTCCAACTCTTGTTCTTTTCTTTGCACTGAAGTTACGTTTCTTAATTAAATATTCAACTACATCAAGACGTCCTCCCCTTGCAGCGTAATGTAAACAATTGGCTCCGTTTTCATCGCAAGTGTTCTCGTCAAAGCTTGAAATTACCGATTGTAGATAAGTCAGATCCCCTTGCTTGGCAGCTTCGAAAATCCTGTCGTTCGTCATCTTGGACACTTACTTGATTCTTTTCATTTTCTTACCTGAAAGACCTCACCCATCTTGTTCCCAAACAAACTTCGTCTGCCTAAACAAAATACACAGGTGAGAACGTCAATATAAATATCAAAATGACTGGTAAACGAAACGAACATTAATTTACTTAGTGAAACTAATATATATAGGCCTAGTAGTTGCTTGGTGTATAATGGGGGCATACTGCAGCTCCCAATATATACTGAAGCTATTCTACTTTAGAGTAATAAAACATAGGTAAATTACATCAGACATAATGTTAAAATATGTCATTATACGAAATTTCATGGTTCGTTTTCACTTCATGAAATCAATAAGTTTGTAATTTATCTCAACTTACTCTGTGTATCGAAAACGCTTAGAAGCGAGCACCTGTTCCCCACAAATGTCCATGTTTCTATTCAATAAAGAACTTATTCACTTCATGGTGCTTTAAACATTAAAATTAAGAGTCTTTAAACACTCCAAATATCATTGTCATCATATCTTTAATTTCAGATACATGGTAAATGAAACTGCTCTAACTCTAAGCGTTTGATTAACCCCGACAACACGAAAACAATCTCGTGTTGAACTACGGAATGTTTGATGCACTAGAGTTAAGATAGGCCTACTTGTAGCTACCTAAGGTTGTAGGCAACTACAAATATACGTTACACATGGCGGACCAGACACAAAAGAAAAATACCACTAAAAGTGAAGAATCCTTCTCTGTCGAATTCAAATTAGATGAACAGTTACCAAAGTTAAGTTTGGAAAACGGAAATGATGATTCCGATGATACAGCATCAGAATCTTTGAAACGGCGACCGCGCGGTCTGCAAAGGAACAGGTGATTAGTATTTCAGTTTATAACTCATTTTTATAAGATTTCCCCCTGTTTTCTATTTTGGTGCTAATGATTACTGGTTATATTTTACTTATTTATTCTTTCTGTATAATTTTCTTTTCTTACTTTTCTTTTCTTTTCACAGTAAATTATTAGTCCGAATCATTCTGCCGTTTTATCGACTTTTTTATATCGGTCGGTCGTCGATTAACATCAGAACTCTGGCCCTCTATAATATGTGGGACATAGGCGACCCTAGTCCGCTAAAACTGACCATACTCGCAGGCTCAAAAATTCTGATCAATCGCCTGTTTATGGTCAGCTATCGACCGCTCTTTAAAATGTGGGGATTGTCGTCGAAATCTGGCGACAGCGATTGTGAGAGTTATACATGTTTGTCAGAGAAAATAATCATACCTTTATTTCAGTTGATTCATTTCTCACTCACTTGACTAGATGTCATGTCCGTACTCGATACAATATGGACTCTACATCGTTTTATTAAAATGAAGTGCTTTCGACTGCTCACATCGACAGCCATCTTGCCTTCGACAATAGCGCGCACTAGCCAATCAAAATTACTTCCGGTTAATTTGATCAAATGTAAACATTGGTTACGCAGTGATCTTTTAGCAGACACAAACTAATAAGCTCGTTTGATTGATATTTATTTATCACAATAATTAGTAATAACAAAATTACTCTGATATTCCTAGCATTTGTCAGCATTATATTACGAAAACAACTCGATTGCGAGGAAAAGGTAAACTGGTACACATGTTTTTGTTGTCAACAAGTCGATTTGACAGAAGTAATTCTGATTGGCCATTACATATTGATGTATGCAAGATGGCTGTCGATGTGAGCAGTCGAAAGCACTTCATTTTAATAAAAACGATGTAGAGTCCATATTGTATCGAGTACGGACATGACATCTAGTCAAGTGAGTGAGAAATGAATCAACTGAAATAAAGGTATGATTATTTTCTCTGACAAACATGTATAACTCTCACAATCGCTGTCGCCAGATTTCGACGACAATCCCCGCATTTTAAAGAGCAGTCGATAGCTGACCATAAACAGGCGACCGATCAGAATTTTTGAGCCTGCGATTATGGTCAGTTTTAGCGGACTAAGGCGACCCGCGCCAGAGTCGCTCTTCAAACAGATATTTTAGAAACAAAACGTCACTTTAATTCACACACATGTCTCACATGGATCTATTTTAGAGCGTCCATCTAGAGTACGAAGTGTCCGGAGTTGAACCCGGCCTGCTTTTTGTATTAATAATAAACCACTTTATTTGAGGTCCTGTACAATTGTAAACAAAAAACATAAGCTCTGAAGAGCATTTATTACGACGCCTATAAGAGAACAAATAATGTTTTTGTGGTGGAGGAAAACCAAGGGGGGGGGGGGGGGAACCACCATGCCATCAGAGGGATTAACAACTATAACCCTATTAAACATCACTCTCTTTTTTCTTTTTCCACCACCACTGGGGATTGAACCGAAATTCTGTCTGCTAACATTGTGAACAAAACTGGCACCTGTAACACTTAGCATTTTCTTGGAAATTAAGAAAAATGAATTATATAGAAGTGACAAGCGACAGGACTTAGGTCTCCCCTTTTAATCTTATCAACATATTTTTATGTATGCCACATCACAAAACCACAAAAGATCATGCAGAAGAAGTTTTTTTAACTTTAGATTGTTAAAATCGCATATAAAACTGATCAATCACTTGGCCTTTTTTATCAATGTTTGGAATAGGTACATGTATACCCTTTTGAATTGCATGGTTCAACAACTTCATTAAAAATAACACAGCTGTAGAAGTTAAAGAATGATAAAAATTAATATGTTGTTAAATATGTTACTTTGTTTATGTGTGTTTATTCTTAAAGAAAGGAAACGATCTAATTTAAAGGTCATTCATTTTGAACATGCTAAATCACTCTTTGCTAAGTTAGGTGACATGAAATTCTTTTCAAAAATATAATATAAACTTTTCCATATTGATTTATAAAAATTCCATACTAATCTAAATCAATTCAGTACAAATATTAACAATTTCATACTTATAGAAAAAGGTTCTTACTTATATTTAACAGCTCCATACTAATATATAAAAAAAAGTGTCATACTAGTAATAGTTTAAAACCGTTCTGTACAAGTTTATATTAAAACATTGCTGGCCCCATTCTAATATAAAAACATGTTAGACTTCCTTTATTGTTCCATACTATGATAAACCTCCGGTCTGTTCGAACAAAATTAAATAAAAGTTGTTAATCCTGTTTAAATTTGAACAGGATTAACAATATTTATTTAATTTTACATTATAAAATAGTTTCATGCTAGTATAATTTTAGAATTTTTAAACCATTAAAATATATTTTTATCAAAAGTAGTCTTGGCTTGATTAATTAGGTACCGGTAATTACAATTTGAAAAACCTAATGGAATGCATGTTTTGATAACACTTAAGCAATGAAAATTAGATAACATAGTATTTTAAGGGAGATAACTCAAACACAAATCATATGTAAATGTAGCATACACCCTTAAGCTGTTTGTATAGCTATGTGTAATGTAGTAAGCTGAAAGGTGATTTGCCATGACAATTTCATACCTATTAAATTGTATTGATCTAACACAGGGAACACAAATCTACAACTGTAGTTTAATGTAGGTCTCCTAAATGTCATTTCACATCAAAGACCCTGATCGTTTAAATTGACGTTACATAATTAGAGCCTAGATAGCACCATATGGTCTTTTCAAATCTGTCAGCATATGATACAGTCTTGTTGGTAGCTTATAGCCATGGATGCTTCTTCTTTGTAAGTACTTCTTTTATTTGACATAAGAAAAATAAATCAGGCAATCTAAATATAATATGTAGTTACATGTAATGATAGAATAATTTTATGTTTGTACAAATAAAACTATTTATGGTCTATTTTAGTATGTATCTGATGTTTCATAGAAGTTTAAATTATTATTGCAGTAACATTTGTCCATTTTATGTATTTTCTGATACTTTTACCGTATTTGACCTGTATATGCTATTAAGTCCAAGGGTATATGTCCTGAAGTCAGATCACGGGTAAATAATTGCTTATTTTGTCCCTTGTTTACAGATACAACCGTCATTTAAAGTCAGTAATTAAAAGGGTTGGTTACAAATATTTTGCAGTACAGTTATTTACCTCATTAAACTTGACACTCATTCTTTGGAATAATTTTTCACAACAGAAATGATCAATCTATCATTGGTTTTTATAGGTCCTTTAATTTTCCACTGTTTCGTTAAAAACTATACTGTGTTCCACCATGTTGAATTTCAATATTCCCAGTAAATCTATGAGTCACACCAAAATTCTATAAATACAGGTCTCCTGCAGATTTATTACTGCAACAGCAACGTTAACTATAATTGTAATGATATTTAAAAAATAGAATAATCTGTTGTGTAAAAGGTATATGGGTGTACTCAAATGCATATATCAAGTTACTTGGGTGTTTTTCTTGTCCTTATAACTATACTGCTTTAACACAAGGATTTGTGTTTCAAGTTCATGATTTTAAGCTGTTCCATGTCATCAGATGGTGGGCCTACTGTAACCAATTTTAGTCATGGTTTCCTTCTGTTCATTCCATTTTTGTACAATATATAGGGCTTTTGCCACTTAATGCACTCCAATCTTTCTCGTATTTCTTTTAATCACACCGAAGGCTGGTGGAGTGATCAGGATTTTGTCCAAATTAATATATATATAAATATATCACTATCAGCCAGCTGAAAATACAATTAACATGGTCAGTGTGTACTATTTACAATACCACAATATCCTCTTCATTGTATGTCTGTTCATCCATCCTGTCACCCTTTGCCCACTATAAATTATGACAAGGAATTATCTTGAAAGTAAATAATAATACACAGCTAACTTATAACATTGTGTTTCAATGTGCAAAATAAATGCAGAATTAATAATTGGCAAATATGATTTTACCAGTTTACAGTTTCCTGGTTCACACTTTTATAGGTTTCCAGAATTTATTTCCAGGAATGAAACAAATTTAATTTGAATAACTTTCAAAGAATAATATAATGAGTCTTTATATCATACTAAAAATGATATCAAAAATCAACTAGATGCTTTTGATTTGCGGTAAGAACCATTATGGCTCACCAAGATCGATATCCTGTT